CCTGTCCCCTGGCTAACCTTCCTTCTGCAGGCCCCACATTTACCTGATAAGCCGTTACCCCTTGTGGCCATTATTACCCCTTATGTTAACTTATAATTCAGTACTAACTAACAGATATATTTAAAGAGTCTAATCTGTGATTATGACTTACAAGAGTATATGCTGGCACAAATCTTTTAAAGCCCACTATATACAATAATGATACACTTATTTTAGGTTAGGCCCACTGGTACACTTGCAATAGTACAAATCAACTTACTAAAGATATAAAATAACACACTTCTTGTAGGTTAGGCCTACTGTACACTTACGAAAATACAAACAATTTATGTAAGATATAAATAACACTTGTGAAAATACAAATCGACTTCATTAAGATATAAAATAACACACTCCTTGTAGGTTAGGCCTACTGTATACTTACGAAAATATAAACAACTTATGTAAGATATAAATAACACTTGTGAAAATACAAATCGACTTCCTTAAGATATAAAATAACACAATCCTTGTAGGTTAGGCCTACTGTATACTTACGAAAAAGTAATGCTTCATACTATAAAGTCAGTTGCTGCAATCTTGTTGTTATATTCCAGCGGATATATGGCAGTATATTCATTGACTTGTGCATGTATTTTTACCTGCTTGGAGGCCCATGGTATTAGTGTAGTATTATTTGGTATTTATTCTTTAACCAGTGCTTCATTTTACAATGTATTTTGTCCACTCTGTTTGGAATACAGATAACAGAGCGGACAAAAATACACTGTAAAATGACGGACAGGTTAAAGAATAAATACCAAATAATACTACACTAATACCACAGGCCTCCAAGCAGTTAACTACACGTGTACAAGTCATTAAATATATCGCCATATATCTGCTGGAATATAACAATAAGATTGCAACAACTGACTTCATAGTATGAAACATTACATGAATAGTTTTTAACCACATTTTATTGTATAACTTTCTTTTTATAATCTATATAAATAAAAATGTAAATGTTCGTTTGAGTCTTACCTAAGATCTCCGAAACTTCTTCACCGATCGCTTTGAAATTTTGACACAACGTTGCATTCGAACACACGCGTTTCTGTGTGCCTATTATGTAGATGTCACACCCGTGACAGGTAAAAACAGGTAAAAACCTGCCACATGTTCCGAATCCAGCAGTCATTTCAATTGTAACGCTAGAACAGTTAGCGTATACTTCCATGGGAACGCAATAACAGTTTGCCGTTGCTAGCTTCCTAAGCAATGGATGAAACTAACTCTTCGATAAGGTATTCCCTATCCTGTCCGAGCACTGGCTATATGTATAAGAGAGTTTAGCTCTGGCGACTGTTCAGTATCACGAGTGTCTTGAGTATCACGAGATCACAAGTATCACAAGAGATTCTGAGTGAAATCACAACATCCGCTGAGGTATAAATAGCCCACCTTGGACAAGAAGCAGTCAGTCTCGGGGCAGATGCCAAGGGATATGGAAGAGAGCCTGGAGGTAAGCGCCGAAGGAGTTAGTCTTGGGATAGCCAACGCCGAATATAAACAGTTTCGATTTATTTTCATTTTGATTTAATTGTTCGTGTGACATTGCCTTGGAATTGGGCTGTGTCGTTTTCATCTATCTATCTTATATAAATAAAAATGTAAATGTTCGTTTTCTCTTATCGAAGATCCATGGAAACGCAATAACAGTGGGCCGTTGCTAACAACAGATCGTGCCCTCTATTGTGTCCAAAACCAGGTTATAATAGTCCAGCTCCGAAGAGTTTTAAATAAAAATGTAAATGTTCGTTTTCTCTTATCGAAGATCTCCGACTTCACCGATCGCTTCGAAATCCAGCAGTCGTTTCAATAGTAACCCTAAAACAGCGTATACTTCCATTGAAATGCAATAACAGTGGCCCGTTGCTAGCATTTCCTAAGCAACAGATGGAACTAACTCTTCGATAATGTATTCCCTATCCCGTCCGAGCGCTTCGAAATTTTGACTCAACGTTGCATTCGCAGCAGTCGTGTCAATAGTAACGCTAGAACAGTTAGCGTATACTTCCATGGAAACACAATAACAGTGGCCTGTTGCTAGCATTTTTTCTTCATCAGTGCAATCGATCTGCTTTAGTTCATTCAAATAATGCCTCGCAGAAGATCAAACTTTGGTCATCGTACTCGCCGAGTGGAAGCAATGCATTGAGTATTTGCAAATCAAACTGGAGAAGAACGGGCATCAGCGAACAAGCGAAAGAGACAAAGACAGGCTCAAATACGTGCCGAGGAAGCAGCAGAGCGACATGCAGCCAGACTTGAAGATGCGATCGGAATTGGGCTGTGTCGTTTACCATAGCGTTCATTTCGTGAGTATAGTCTATTTTTCATTGTTTTTCATTTCGTTTTCTTAACTGTTCTCCTTATTTTTCAGTGCAGGTGGCGGTGGGATTGAGCTGTGTCAATTGATCTGCGTTTGAATTCAAATATTTCGTCCAAATAATGCCTCACAGAAGAACAAGCTTAGGTCGCTGTACTCGCGAAGCGGAAGCAATGCATTGAGTAATTTCAAATGAAACTGGGAAGGGACGGGCAGACTTAGCCACAGCAAGGCGTGGCCGGGCACAGCTAGTAATGTTATAATTTTATTTGTATTTTTATACCTTGTATTATTATAGTGTAACACAGTTGTCAAGTATCCAACTCCACTGTCCCATCACATTGAAATGCAGTTCAATAGTGTGTGAATGTAGTAACCATGTATTTGCCTGATGATGGCTTCAAAAGCCAAAACATGTAGCTACAGTGATATTGACCTAGGCCGTTCCACTGCAGTGTTACAACTGATCCCAATAAGGAGTTTTATATGATACCCAAAATTATACTATTAAAGGTAACATATTTTTAACCTGCTTAATGTATTCTGTATAAAAGCATGTCCCATGTAAGAAGCACCATTTTAATGTTATAAATTAAAATTTTAACCATTTAATGTATTTTTCACCAGTTACTTTTTCCCAAACTGACTCATTTATTACACACTCCATCCATTTGTAAGATTTGAACATTCTGGCTAGAATTCACTCATGCCTAAAACTAAGTATAATTTAACAGTAAACCACATATGAAGTGTCTTAAGCTTCAGCAGTGCTTACAGATAAATGCACCTAAATGGTCATCCATATTCTTTATTTCCGATGAAAATCTTATAATCCTGTTTCAGTCATTTTAAATTTTCATATTTTCTTTATGTCATGTCAGTTTGCAAGTCTGCAGATAACACTTCAAAGTTATGGTTTCCCCCAACAATGTTATATAAAACTTCAAAGTGATGGTTTCCTCAACAATGTTATATAAAACATTATAAAACACTCACGAGGAGGGCCACTTTGGGGCCAATTCTGCCCAGACAGATTTTGTAAGCATCCATCCAAGCCCCGGAAAGAAGTCAGTACGGTAGAGGAGGTCAGGAGCATTTTCATCCACTAGACCAGCCTTCCCATTGTCATTCCACGCAGACACACACCACAGCGTGGGGTCCCGCTTTAAGATGGGATATGTTCCCAAGAAGTACTCAAAGAAGTCTGGTGCAATGTCAAGATCGTCTGAAAAAAAAAAATTAAACTCTCAATGTAACATTAACCATAATATGTGATTTTTGTGTCAAAAAAACCAATGATTGAATAATATGCATAATTTAGAGCAAAATAATTTGTAACACTAGAGAAAAACCTTTTAAAATAAACAGTAAACTGAATGTGTTAATACAGGAATCCAATCTGTTATAAGCTACATGATGCCAGAGACAGTCAATTCTTATTCAAATAAATATAAATACAGTTTGGAATTGAATTCTCAGAACAAACTATACAGTTTAGAGGTTTGTTATAATAAAGGGTGATGTGATTCATGCATACTGAGGATATACAGGGTGTCCCAGGAGGAATGTGCCAAACTTCGGGAGGGTGTTCCTTATGTTAAACTCTGCCGATAAAACACAAAACACCTATGTCCAAAGTTGAACGGTTATGAAGATAATGGCCCGAGAAAAGTGTGGTCTTCTGGCGGTTCCACGCACTGTACCTGTCAGCTGACAAGTCTTATCTATGTTTGTCCTTGAGTGTAGTGATGACAGCTCACGTTAGCCCCATTCACTCGCATACCACAACGCGCAGTCAGCAATGTTATGTCAGTGCTTGCCATTCATGTGTCATGTATAGTGCTTGGAACTCTTAACGACAACTTTGACATGGCGTGCCAGTTTTTTGTAGTTCAATTTAATGGCTTCACATCACTCACAAGTTAGTTTGATGTTACGTACATTATTAACATTACAGAAACCACATATTCCTGCCAGTTTTAATATGTATTTGGTAATCTACAAGTGTGTAACACATGTCAAAGTTTCACACTTCTCTGGCCATTATCTCCGTAACCGTTCAACTTTGGACATAGGTGTTTTGGGTTATATTGGCATACTTTAACATAAGGGACACCCTCCAGAAGTCTGGCACACTCCTCCTGGGACACCCTGTATATAACATTGTTGCTATTCAAAAACAGATTATGAGCATTGCATCACTGATCAAAAATGTGTCGGGAAAGATTACTCCTGTAACTGATCCCATACACTGGATTAATAAAGCAATTTTACACTCAGGATCCTTTATTTCCTGGTAGAGTTCACTATCAAGGTAACCTACAATGACAAGCATATACACACCACAAATGATAAATCTGTTTTGTTGCTGAATATACTTGAAATTAACAGGAAGCACGTATGGAAAAAGTTTGGTATGTCTCATATTATCCATGGAGATGTGAATTCAAGCAGTCTTACATGCATATTGTCATCATATTACCTATACAGATCTCTACTTGGATTATCCTGTTAGTTTCAAATTAGGGCTCTCAACATGATTTTACTGAACCTGTATATAAGGATACTGCTCGTGTGCATGTTTTGAAAAGGAAAGAAACCTTCCAAATCTTCACAAACTGAGTGACATGCCATGATAAATACTAACTCCAATTTACATACTGACATCAAAATATTATTAGTACTCAGGGACTCAACACAATTCCTGAAGCTATACCATCTCAATACTCAAAATACTGTTACATAATTCACAGAAAGAAAAGGACTGATATACTGAAACAAGGTACTGTCGACTCATTCATGACCTACTGTATAACTTACAATCATACAATGTGTTAAATCTTCGCAATTAGTTGAATATGATAAGCTGAAATTGCTTAATTTGTAAGCTTTCGCTCACAATTAGAATTTTTCTTATATGCACAGAAGGATAACAAAAATGTACCATAAATTTTCGTGAGAAATTAAAAATTCGTCTACCATGAAATAGGAGTGAAACCTGTATCTCGACATAATAAATACATTTCCCTGCCACTTTATGAAACATACATAAAAGTTAGCAGCAATGAAGCACTGTACAATCTTCTATGTTTCAGTAAGATGCAATCTATCATTGAAGAGATCCTTTCCAGAAACTTGTAGATAAATGTAACAACCTTAACTGTTTTTGGATAAGTTTACATAAAAGTATCTGGAGCAAGAGAACATGTTATTTTCCAACAAAATGGTGTTATGGGTAGGCTCAAAACCAACACAACATCGTACCACACCACTTCCTGCTCTCTTTACCACAGGTAGTTGATAACTGATATATTAAAGCATGCCACACTTGCTGGGTATGATGGAATGATCAACCTGAATGCAGTAGTAAATACTCCTGGTTCAGATATCCAAACTGTAGCCATCACCTCATTAAGTTCTTACCTTCAACGATGATGACAGTGTCAAAATTGAATTTGAAGAATGTATAGTTGAGGGCCCAGCCATAGTGCCTTGCAATTTTGAAGTAACCTTTGAACTTCTTCTCCTTTGGTGGCACTGGAATGTCACTCTGGTCTGGTTGCTGCATTAACAGAAAAATGATGCAGTGAAAACCACAAAACAATTACAATGATTTTCAGGTCTAAAACTGTTATACTGGTGCCTGCATCTATACACCTCTACTCCCATGGAATGTAGCCTGTCTGAACCACATTTCACAGATGTCTTCAATTCTTCCATTTCTGTGCACAAGTACCACTGATCATTTGGAGTACTTTTCATCAGTTTAAGTTCAGAACCTTATACAAAAACTAAATCTGATTTTAGAATATAGATAAGAGTACTGTACCTTGCAATATAACCTTCACACACACACACACACACACATTGTGGATAATCTGATGATTCTTCTGCAATGTCTACTTTTGCATAGAGAGGTTAGTCAGACTTGTAAATTGCAAATTACATAATTTATGATTATATTGAACTGTACACTGTCTGAAGTACATGATCTTCAATTTATAACACTGTGAATGATGTAATTCCACACTTATTGAGCTGGATTTATCAGGGAAGCTAAGGGCAGCATCACTGTCATATAATGAGAAACCTGTATATCTCATATACAAATATTTAGGGAGTTGGTTCTACTTGTGTTTTCAAGTGACTGCTCATAATTACAGTTAGAGCTATTTTATTGTTTTTTAAGGTTTTTAGCAACAGCTGGAATTGAATCCATGACTTTTTGAATAATACATTAGTACACTAATACTACAGCTTACCATCCATCCTGCATGCATGCCTTTATTTCTGAGTGTTCAGTGGTATGCATATGGTGAGCTGCCCTACAAAGGGCTGGAAAATTGTGAACAGTGGACTGAGCTGACAAAAGTTCATCATAGTGTAGTGGCTATCATACTACCTTACAATTAAAAAAAAATCCCACCACATTTAATCCGCACAGGCTCCTTTAATCTTAAAGCAAAAAAAAAAAAAAAAAAAAAAAAAAANAAAAAAAAAAAAAAAAAAACTAAAACTGTCAATATAAAATCACCCAACTGCCCAAAGAGAGGCGTAGAATGTTCTAAAATGATATGTGTATCAAATACATCTCAGACAATTGACAATGTCCACTGTAATCCTGATATAACAGACGAGTCAATGTATTACACATTTAGAAAACCATAACACTTCAAATAACATTTCCTAAAGACTCATTTTTAAGACTGTACAATATATAATAAGTTTTTGTGTCTGTAATGTTACTATTATTTATGCACAACATAATATTTCATTCCAAATAAATTCAAAATTTTTCTTCACTCAAAACTTCACCAGTTTTGCTACAAAAGTTTATGAGTTTCATAAAAATCCAGAAGCAAATCTGCATTATGAGAGCTCATCATGTGGTTACATTTATTTTACAAATTTCATAACAAAGATCACATTTATGTACATGCATGCATGCATACATGTATGGAACATATGCCCTACACTTCCTTACATGAAGTGGAATTTACATTGAAAACTAAGAAAGGAAAGGCCACGAAACCTTCATTCACAATGCATGAGCCTACCTCAATGCGAGTTATCTCATCACCATACAATTCGATGACATCTGCTGTGGGGCGGTGGCCACAGTCTTGACTCACAATGATAGGAAATCGCTCACGCGCAGGACGATACTTGAGCAGCTGATCAATACACTTGTTGACAGTGATTCGGTTGCATGCAAACACTAGCACAGCAATCACAGGCCCCCCATCAGGCAGAACCTCCTCAGCAAGCGATCGCATTCGATTAACCTATGCAGTATGACATGGTTATGCAAGTCAAGTACCTTCAAAATGCCACCACAAAAGACACAACCTCCCTCACAATACAACAGCTTACCTGCTCATCCTCCTTCTCTCCCTGCTGCTTCTCCAGCTGCTGCTCTTCACCTACACCTCTCCCCTCAGCTCCAGCCTCATTAACTCTCACAGACAACTCTGCAATAACCAACAACAGTATGTTCCCACAGCAACACCAGATGTAAATCATGAGTTTGAATATAAGATGATACTGAAATGGATCTTAGAGAAATATGACGTAGACTGCATTCACCTGGTACACGAAAGGAGCCAGTGCTGGCCATGATTATGATAAAGAAGAAAATTTGTATGAGAAGGTATGGAATGGTACTTTCTTTTTGGAACATTAAAGGGCACGAACGTTCCATAAAAGGTGGTGAATGTCTTGACCAGCTGAATAACAATTAGTTTCTAAAGAAGAACTCTGCTCAATGGAGTAAGCTGGTAAGTTAGTTAGCATCAGAAAATCTAGCATACAAAAAAAGATGTTTTTTTGGGGGGGGGGGCACATAACATGTGCCTATGGAAAACTTTCATTAATTTTCTTCCTTTTTATGTGAACTGCTGTTTTAAGTCACAGCAGGTACACTAGAAACTAATTCTGAAGCCCAAGTACTACTATTCATGTGACAGAGAGAACTCATTTAGTAGGACTGCAGAAGCACAAACCCAGAAACAGATCTATTACCACAGTAAAAATGTGTGAAACTTTACATCCTCTTCTCTTACAATATTATGTAAGCATGCACAGATAACTTTACAGCTAGAACTGTGGGAACCCTTCTCAAAAGTCTCACTAAGTCATACTTCTCCATTACAGATGGTACAATCACGTCTTGGTTCTAGAGGATGATCTGATAAGTGATCCATTACTGGCATTCATTATGAGGCTATCGAAGCCAGAACCTTTTCCTTCATAACTGGCAACTTCAAAACCAGTGATGGAAGCCCACATTACAAGAGAAAATGACAATGTGAAAGAAGTGGCCTTGGCCTAGTTTCAGGCACTATCCTGGCATCTGCCTGGTACCCACATACCAAACTACATGGTATCACAACTCAATCACACTTTAAATGATGTGGAAGTGCTGCAACATTTGTTATGAAAGTGTGCGAATCACACACAAATCAGGAAAGTGGTCGGAATACTCACGCTGCTCCTTGACAATGTTCCTGAGTTGCTGCAGCAGTTTCTCACCATCCAAAAACTGTTCGTTCAGCTTCAACTCCAACAGACTGAGGTGTTCCTGTATCTGGATTTGCTTCTGCTACATCAGTACAAACATAACACAAGGACTGCATGACAACACAGCAAGGTAATATGGGCAATCTGCTACATCAACACAAACATAACTCTAGAGTTGTATAACAACAAAGACATGTTTCCTAGTTTGCGGTCATCCTGTACTCAGAATCATCTTCCACTTGGATAAATATGGCAGCACACTGAAAAAGTGGCTAGTGTTATAGATTATGACAATGCAAAGCTTGGTCTTTTACATAAAATTCCCGTTCTCATTTTATTTCTCAAAGTTATTCCAAATTCTCATCTCAAACTGAAAAAATCGCTCTTGCACATGCCTACAAAAATACTATGACATGTAGATCCATTGTTAGGCAATGCCCACAACACACATGAGGCCCCAATAGAGGAGCAGTGTTTTCTGTGGTCTGCGCACAGACCATTGCTATGGAGCGTGCACAGATTACGCATGCATGATGACATCACATAACAACAGAAGAAGTGACGTAGGCAGGTGTTTTCTGTAGGCCCACGACAAGGCTGTGTTTTCTGCTATGATCTGTGCTGAATGGTTATACAAGTCATGGAAGGTTGTTCAAGTCAGTCTAGCTCAAGGCACCAGCCAGCCAGGATATTAGATTGGGAGCAAAGAAATCAAACTGAGGAACTGAGGCATCCAGATTGAGTGCAGGTCACTTCAGGCTTGAAAGTCAGCCTGTGAAAGGAACACTCAGCATGTGATTTGAAGAATTCATGTGTGCTGTAGTACAGTGATATCTGGAGGATGACTATTATAGTCCACCGCTAGGAAACGGATAGTGAAAACAATGCAGATGAATAGCCACTGTTTAAGCTGCTACAAAGACTAGTGAAAGCAGACTGAGAACATTTAGTGTGGAGTAAATTGTGGTGTGAAAATCAGCAAAACTGTTATACTTATTTAAAGTTATGGCTTGTACAGGGTCAGCAAATCCAACTACCCATCCGAACCATGTCTATAGTCACTAATACACGCGACAATATGTTATCTCATGAAAATATTTAGTTTCTGTCCCAAACAATTTTCAATATGACAAACATTAAATAAAGTACACAGAAAAATAACTGTCAACTCTACAGTGTTATATTTGTACTGTAAGTATATCTTTGTGATCAGTGGAAGGAGTCTATTATTGCACCAGTTCACAAGAAGGGTTATGAAATTGTCTGTAGTAATTATCGGGGGATATCACTGCTACCAACTCCATACAAAATTTTATCCAATATTCTTCTCTCGAGGTTAAGTCCATAGATGAAATTACTGGGGATCATAAGTGTGGGTTTTGACATGCCATATCAACTACTGATCAGATCTTTTGCATTTATCAGAGATTGAAGAAAAAACAGGAGTACAATGAAATAGTACATCAGCTTTTTGTAGACTTCAAGAAAGCCTATGATTCAGTCAGGAGGGAAGTATTGTACAATATTCTGATAAGAGTTTTGGATACCCATGAAACTAGTTAGGTTGATTAAAATGTGTTTAAACGAAACATATAGTAAAGTCCGTGTTGATAAACATTTCTCTGATAAATTTCCTATCCAGTATGGTCTAAAACAAGGAGATGCTCTATCACCACTCCTTTTCAACTTTGCTTTAAAATATGCCATTAGGAAGGTCCAGGGAAACCAGGTGGGACTGAAATTAAATGGGTCGTATCAACTGTTGGTCTATGCCGATGATGTGAATCTACTTGGTGATAATGTAGATACCATAAAGAAACACACACAAACTTTAACTGACGCAAGTAAAGAGGTTGGCCTAAAAGTAAACACAGAGAAAACTAAGTATATGTTGCTGTCTCATCACCAAAATGCAGGACAAAATCATGACATAAAGATAGGTAACAGATGTTTCGAAAATGTGGCACAGTTCAGATATTTTGGGACGATGATAACAAATCAAAACCTGATTCAGGAGGAAGTTAAGAGGAGACTGAACTAGGATAATGCTTGCTACCATTCAGTTCAGAACCTTTTGTCTTCTCGTCTGCTGTCCAAAAACATAAAAATTAGATTATACAAAACAATAACTTTGCCTGTGGTTCTGTATGAGTGTGAAACTTGGTCTCTGACAATAAGGGAGGAACACAGGCTGAGGGTTTTTGAGAACAGGGTGCTGAGGTGAATATCAGGACTGAAGATAAATTAAGTGACAGGAAGTTGGAGAAAACTGCATAATGAGGAGTTTCATAACTTGTACTCTTCTCCAAGTATAATTAGATTGAGCAAGTCAAGGAGGATGAGGTGGGCAGGGCATGTAGCACAAATTGGGGAGAAGAGGAATACATACAGGATATTGGTGGGAAAGCCAGAAGAGAAGAAATAATTGGGAAGACCAAGGCGTAGGTGGGTGGACAATATTAAAATTTATCTTAGAGAGATAGGATGGGATGGTATGGATTGGGCTGACCTAGCTTAGGATAAAGACCAGTAGAAGGCTCTTGTGAACACAGTAATGACCTTTGGGTTCCATAAAATGCTGGGAAATTCTTGAGTAGCTGCACAATTGGCAGGTTCTCAAGAATGGCTGAGCTCCATGAATGAGTGAGTGAGTGAGTGAGTGAGTGAGTGAGTGAGTATATCTTTGCAACACTGTGTTTCTATCTGCAATTACAGATTTTAAACTTCAATAAATGAATGCCAAGACCAATTATGTATTCCAAACTGAACTATACTTTCAAATTTTGTTCCTTTGTAAATCAGCTTCAATGCCATCTCAGAAGATCTCTGTACTAGGTTTCTACTGCGTGTTACAAGTTATTCAGAACTGTTGTATCATCAATAAAGATTATGAAGGCGATTATGAACAATGTGATACATGGAAAGTATGAGGAAGTAGTCATGACCTCTTAAGGTACTATTATAGCATATGAATGGACACACTGCAGAAAACCATAGGTGAATATTGACCCAGAAGTCAGATCATATACAAATGCAACCACATAACCTGGTAATATTATCAACCACTTCTCCCTTCACTTTCTCATGGTAATACAGCACAAAAGTGCAATTTTGGGCTTGCAGTCAAGCAGAGAATCCACCTACCTCTCCAGCTTGGCAATATGAAGCTAGGAGACTCTGTAGCATATAAAATAATCAATATGTACCACCTCTCATTCCAAACAGAACAATAGAGCTTATACTAAATGAGTAAGAGAAAATATTTTTTCCTATATATAATCCTCCTGATTTAGTGGTCTAGAAGAACAATGGTAAAGTCCATCTACTCTATGAACAAGGGCACATCATACACTGTGTAAGGAACCCTGCAGAAGAAAAGCCCTGATTAAATATTTTTGAATTTCACACTACTGTATGAATACCAGAAATATGTTGAAGGCAGCATCTAGTAACATTTTAATGATGACATATTGGTCTGTCACTAATTGATGATAATATACCCTCATTTCCTTAGCAGACTGAGTGGTAGGTAGCCAGACCCGAGCATTCGTCACTAAATAATCAGTCACCCAGCGGACAAGCAAATAAGATATACATCAACTTCTCTGCATGAAGTGCCATACACTGCATGTTATTCAGCTGCTGTGTGCCACTGCAGAGTGCTGTTTCCTGCACATGGATGACTGCTAATGATTTGTGCTCCTATCTCACAAGTAGAATTAGAACCAGATGAATTATCCTTGCATATACTGCAATATAAAGGTCTAAGCTATTATTTGATATGTGTATTGAGCAAATCTATTAATATCTCTTAGAGTAAATGATCTCAGAAATGCCGATTATCAATCAGCTGTTATCAGGTATTTTGTTGGCTAGCAAATGCTTATCAAATGTGAATGTTGATATTTCAAGTGAATTTTTCCCCTTATACTGAAGACTCTCGTGACAAGGAAACAACAAAGTAATTAGTAGTGTCATGTGTATTGGTGACCATAGATGGAGTTTGAAGCCAGTGCTACTTGGTATGTTGAATTTAAATCCCCAGCAGAAATTCCTCCCACGCAATGTTAGGGGCTAGGATTTAATCCTTCCCATGTCTGAGGGTTAAACATGGAGCTGAAGGAATATCAATTGCAATGCAACCTTTAGTAGCAGAGTTTAAGTCAAAACACTGCCATGTAGATGGAAACTGTTAGTGTGGTCACTCACCTGATCAGGTTTATGGTTGAGTGGTCGGTCCAGAAAGAGGTAGTATGTCACAAGAGCCCACAAGCAAACAGATACAAAAGCGAAGCCAATAAATTGATTCTTACGCATGGCAATCCAACGATCACATCATCTGTAAACAAATGGGCAAGATGTGATGAGTCCAAATCCAACACACCCAATGTAAACATCCCCATAATGCAGATATAATCTAAGCCTGCAACTCAACTCAGAGAGCACTCCATCACTATCTAAACACAGCTGGTTTTCCAAATCTGAACTATTGCACACTCATCTATTTCAAAACATGATGATTTAGCCTCATGTTATCTTTGCTGAGTTATGGAACATCGCACATAAATTCCTCCCAAACCATCTGACCATCTATATTGTTCATGTCATTGGAGCTGACTTTCCTAAGATCTATTTTAATATTATTATACCATATATGCCTTGTTCTCTATATGACCTTCAGCCATGAGGATCTCTTAAGTGGATTTTATTCATTCATTTCAACTATACATGATGTGTGTGTGCCACTTGTAGAAACATTCTGAGAAAACATTTCAATAACAAAAGACATCCAGCGTAAGTTATTTAGCAATCTGTGAAATGATTTTCTTCGAAACTTTACAATGATTTAAGTACTGAGTACAAACAACCAACTCTGTCCCAGCAATGCCAATATCGTTTAATTTATTCTGTTCATCAGAAAAACTGGAATCCTGATCTGCAGAGAATTCTAGATCAGGACGACCAGACTATTCAAAATCATAAGAAAATATCGAGTCCTGTTTTATTTAATGCCTGAACCTCTGAAACAATTCAGAAGCTTGAGTCCAGAACTAAGATCTATATCACATAAGTGTTTCTAAAAAAGAATATAGTTATAAAAAATAATGCAATTAATCAACAAATACACTCAATAAAAGGAAACTCATTTCAAGCAAACTTAAAAAATAATGAGAAGTTAGCCAAAATATAATAGAAGTTCACAACATTGCAAACTGTACAAAGAATAGTGCAGGAAATCTTGCCAGATACTCATGAATGCAACAAAACACCCACATATCCTATACATACTACAAATTTTCTCAATGACAAAGGTCTCCCTGCAGTTTGGCAATAAGCTAAGCGGATCCAACTATTACACATTCATAAAAGTGTCACATCAAAATGCAAATAGTAATCTAATAATCCAACTGAAAATATGAAGTAGGATTCACTTAATCTGATATGAACCAAACACAAGCAACATTCAAACACTCATTTTGATCTGTATGATATACCTCAGCTTAAAAGATTATGAACTAACCTTGCAGACCACCAATATCCAACCAAAGCTTGAATGAATGTGCGGGAACTGCCCACATTCAAGCAAATGTTACAGCGACAACGCAAGTATCATTGCTTAGCAACGAGTAAACAGCTGTTGCTAGGCAAAGCCCACAACAACACGGACAGTGACATGTTTTTATGCTGTCCGACGCAGTGCCAGATACAAGGAAGATATGGCGATATAAAGAAGTGTGGTGTGGGTGTTGGAAGCAGTAATATTGTTGGTACTATACTTCAATTCTTCAAACTCAAGTTCATCTGGGTATAATGTGCAACTATAATAAATATTACAGAACAGTTCAACAAGTGGTTGTCTCTTCATATAATGACATCCCACAAATGAATGAATGAATGTATAAGGGGTGGGCCTTCTTGGCCCTTGCACCATGACCTACAGTGATTTATTGTGCTTCCCCTTTTGATTAGCCCCTAAGCAAAACCTGCACTTCGAATGAAGCATAGGATTTTGTACATGGGGGCATCGAAATAGTCACTTGGTTCCATAAAGAATTGACTCAAGTGACGTAATCTTAAATAAGCTAAGGCCTCACATTCACAGGATGTGTGTGGCTGTTTCATTTTCTTCTTGACACCTCTCAAGAGGAAAAGGTGGAACTAACCTGCAAATCACCAATATCCAACCAAAGCTTAGAAACATGGCTTTTATACACCAGCAGAATGAAGAGCAATCACTGGGAGTTTGAAAAGGTGACATTGAACAAATTAATAATGCATATGTCTATCTATCCTACCAAACAAGCACTCAACAAAGTGAGCAGTTACCTACAAACTCACTAAGGAATGATCTAGGAATGTATTTGTATACTAGTCTAGTTTTAGAAGCTGGAACAATATGACTACACGAACTGCAGTAATATACTGTACAAAAAAAGTAACAGTTTTCAAGAAGTTGTTTGCAATACGACACAAATGAATTCTTTAAATTAGTTAATACGATACAGACCAGCAGCTCCATTATGGATGCTCAATGAAGAGAAAATGAATTTTCAATGCTGTCAGCTTTCATTCAATTGTCACACATCAAACTGTCAGACAACTTATTATAACAAAACACACATTATCTGCGGTCAAACTTGTTACTGTCAGCGGTTTGTATTTCCGGCGAACTGACGTCTGATTGTATCACTTTCGTTGAGTTGGCACACGTTTGACGGACAAGACATAAAAAATTGAAATTTCCGCATAAAATCCCAAATCATATACTTACTGATGGTTATTTTAAACCATGAACCGCATACTGAACATCACAAAAATAATTTAATGTCCTAAATTCATTAGTATTTTGTAAAATTGCTAGTTATTACACGACGACCGAAATAGTACCAGGCTAACTTCGGACACTACATGGTCGTGGCGGTCTTGGCTGTCATGGCCGTCATGGCGCTCATGGCCGTCGTTGCCATCGTTGCCAAAGTCAGGGATTAGTTAGCAACAACATCGACACATCGACCCCGTTTAACTACATCACTGATTAATACATATTGGTACACAACGTAATCACGGTACAAATGTCCACGGGTAATGATGTCCGATAGTGACGAAGGTGACCAACGTAATGACCGTAGATACCACACATAACCGAAATCCATTCAACGATAAATACTTCCATTACCCGAAACTATTTATCACAGGTCATACTACGGTATATATCGTGTACGTGGACTAAAAATGGCCTATCCAACTATTCATGTGAGTGCAAAACCACAGATCACCATGCATAACAAACCACGGCAGTTGCGTTATGTAAAATAAATAGCTAAACATGGATGTGCTAGTAACAGATAAAGGACTAGAGTTGGACGTACTATGTATCACCGAACATTGGTTACAGAAACAAGAAATAGGTTATTATAATTTTGAAAAGTGTCCCCTTATATTGAAATTCTGTAAGAAAAATAAGCAGCATGGAGGCTTATGTACCTATGTCAAAACAAATCTAGAAGCAAAGCTTTATAACTCGTTTGAAAACTTGAATCTAGAAGAATATTTTGAGCCTAGTGTAACAGAACTTGGCCAGTTTAACACAATTATTATCTGTGTATATACAACTCCAAACAGTAATAGTATATTTATTGAAGCCAGACAATAATTAGTAATTTAATAAACAAAGGGAAGATCATCATTATTGTAGGTGATGTCAACATAGATTTCCTAGGAAGAAGAGTAAATCTACATCAACTGACAATGTTAAACTCACGTGGCTTGCAAGCAATTGTTGATGTCCCAACAAGGACCGAAGTGAAACAGCATTAGATCAAATAATATTGAACAAGGGCTTATGGCGATACAATCTTAAGGTAGGGCTGCCAGATTTTGTAAAATAAAAAAAGAGTGAAGTCTCGTTGCTTGTTTATAACGACATTTTTCACAACTAATAGGCTATAAAATACACATAATCAACATACTCATAACTTACAAAATGCTACTACATATCTGTATTACATAGGCCTACTACACATTTATAGAACAAAACAAATATTACGTAGCCCTATTACATATTGTGACGTGTTGCGCTATGGTAACCCCCCCCCCGCCAACGGTGACGTGCCTAAGTTTGACCGAGTTTGACCACGTCTGGGCTATTTGTAAACAACCTTCATGCTGTTTGTGGTGCGGAGGCGGCCACCTGCATAAGGAATGCCCAGAGAAGGGAGACGCTGCTTCCACCCCAAAATGCTGCAACTGCCGGTTGGCAGAGGGAGACAAGCCACATCCAGCCAACTATCGGGGTTGCAGACACGCCAGGGAAGAGCTGCAAAAAGGGAAGGCGAACAGAACGCCGAAAACTGTTACGGAGAGGGTGTTCTCATCGAACTTTGTCGCCCCAGGCGTGCCCTTCGTGGCTGCACTACGAGGCAACGCCGAACAACAGCGAACACAGGCAAACCAAGCTCCAATGGCTTGCCCTGCAGTTACAAAACAACAACATGTATCTGCCCTTGCGCTGCAGAAAGATACAGGTCAGTCAGTTCAGGCTCCTCATGCAAATAGTCACACTCTCAACAATATGTTGAGAGTTGTGACTGCAGTACAGCAGATAATGACAGAGGTCAATGGTGCAGTGTCTGAAGAGGACAAAATAATGGTCATTACAAAATTTATTTGTATACATTTGTATTAAATCTCATGAAACAAAATGGCCACTAAAGTTCATAGTTCATAACATTTAATGCGAACAGCATTTGGAGGCAGCGCTATGAGCCAAGTAAACAGCGGCACGACCTACGCTTAGATGTGGCTCTGTTATCAAAGACACATCTGAAACTTCATGATAGATTTTTTCTTCCAAATTACTACATTTATAGAACCGACCGCCACTCAGGCAGAAAAGGCGGAACTGCCGTTGCAGTTAGGAAAGGCATTCCCCATAACCATGTAGACTTACCATCCCTTATTTCAGTAAAAGCGACAGGGGTCTCCATACCAATTGGTAACAGTGAAGTACTGCTTACAGCTGTTTATAAATCCCCAGGCAGGGCCTGGAGTGATGCTGACATCGCAGAGCTCTTAAGCTTTAGACGTAAGTCTATTTTGGCAGGTGATTTGAATGCTAAACATCCATTTTGGAATAGCAAAGTTTCAAACCCCTCAGGCTTGAAACTCATGGATTTATTTGATATGAGTGATTTCGAAATCTCAGCACAACAATGTCCCACTCATTATTCCACTACGGGAAATGGTGACGTCCTGGATATTGTGGTCCACAAAAATATCAGAATGTCAGATGTCATTGTCTTCGATATTTTGGATTCAGATCACCTACCAATAGTATTCCACATACTGGATCATGTTAGAGTTAAGAACCTTTCGTGACCTATTGAAAAATTCACAGATTGGGAGCGGTTTCAAAGCCTCGCCTCGGAGTTAATATCACCTAAAATAGAAATTACGTCTGGGGTAGAAGCCGATAAAGCGGCGCGCGACTTTGCAGCCTCTATTACTTCGGCATATAGGTTGTCCACAAGAAAAGTTACACTTTCGGACATAAACAACGATCTTCCTGATCTAGGTCACCTGTTAAAACATAAGCAGAAGCTACGAAAATTGTGGCAAGAAATCAGGGATCCAGCCTGTAAGACGGCACTAAATTGGGTTACAAAGTCAATCAGGCGAATGACCCGAAAATAGGCACTTGAACGGTGGGAAACAAAAATAAGTAACGCTGAAATCACACCTCAGGGTATGTGACAAATTGCGAAATCCCTCCTAAAGAGAGATGGGCCAAGGGCACCAACTGTTATTCATGGTGCTGCAGGCATTAAATTTCACCCATTCGAAAAAGCCAATGCAATTGCTGAATGTTTGGAAAATCAGTTCACGCCACAGAATATGTGCGACGATTACCATGAACGGCGAGTGGAGGCTAGAGTTCAAACTCTGCTTGAAACCGTAGTCAACAAGCCCCCTCAAAGGATCAGACCATGTGACGTACAAAAATTGATAAATTCCTTCAAATGGAGAAAGGCCTGTGGAATTGACGGCATCCCAAATGAATGCCTGAGGCAACTTCCAAGGCGACCACTGGTTCACCTAACTCATTTATTTAATCACTAGCTGTACCCGGCCACGCGTTGCTGTGGCTCAGTCTGGTTAAATGGAAAAGAAAGAAAAGAGAAAGCGCGCGTTTCTAATATGCTTAATTTCACAATGCTTGTGGCTATACAATATTTTTGTTGTTCCATTGTCTGTGCAGATATAGCGATTGTCTGGTTTGCCGACTCTAGAACACGCAACATATAATTGTCCATGTGAGAAGCAATCCGTATCTAGATCTAAACCGCACAATTCTAAAGATTGGCCCTGAGCTTTGTTGATGGTGATTGCAAACGCCAATCGAATTGGGAATTGCAATCTCTTAAATTGAAATGGCACATCCGTTGGAATCGTAGGAATGTGAGGAATGAGGACATCTTCACCTTTGAAAGGTCCTGTCAAGATTGTTGCTTCTACGACGTTGCTCAATAATTATTTTTTACTGCAAGCCGCGTGCTGATGCAAAGCTTTGGCTGGTTGATATTTCGCAACATGATAATTGGCACGCCTAATTTCAATTGCAGTACGTGAGGTGGCATCCCTGGCAGATCGAAAAAATTCTGTTGGACAGTTAACCGCTTCGTCTGCTTCCACAACAATGTCGACGGACTTGTATGTGACTGCCTCGCATTGAATGTTAGATTGAATGATATTGTTAAGTTCGCAGACGTCTTTGTTCTGGGCCGCAAGAATAGCTCGTTCACTCAGCCAATCGTGATTCTAATAATTGGTTTCAATATTGGGAAATACTTTTCAACCAATTCTTCTTTTGACGTCACTAAATTGCAGAAGTTATGAGGCAATGAAATTCGTCCTGAGGTCAGATCAACCGGCACCTTTCCATTCCCAATTTCCAGCAATTGATGTGAGAATATCTCAGCTGATCGATCGTTTTGCAGCTGGGCATGCATATTTGTAATTAATTTTAACGTCTTTGCTTGTCGCCACAAAGTAGAGTATTTCAGGCAAGAATTTATTTCGTCCGCTGGTGTCGATCGAGGAATTACAGGTAATGTTTTCATGAAATCTCCTGCAAGCAATATTAATGCGTTCCCAAATGGTCTGATGTTTTCATGCAAATCTTGCAATGATCGATGAAGAGCCTCCAGCGATTTTTTGTGCGCCATTGTGCATTCATCGCAAACAATAAGTTTGCATTTCTGCAATACCTTTCCCATGCCTGATCCTTTGGAAATGTTGCACGTCGGAGTTTCAATGAATTGCATGTTCAATGGCAATTTCAAAGCCGAATGAGCAGTTCTTCCACCTGGTAGCAATGTCGCAGCTATTCCGGACGACGCAAGAGCTAAGACTATGTCATTTTGGGATCGAATTGCTGCTAGAATTAATCTAATTAGGAACGTTTTACCAGTTCACCCTGGCGCATCTAAGAAGAAGATTTCTGCAATCCCGTTATTGACAGTTTGCACTGTTTGATCGTAAATGCCTTTTTGCTCAAGCGTTAACTTAGGAATATTTGATTGCACATACGACAAAAGATCGCCCGTGTTGTAATTTTGTTCACGACGTAATTCTACATTGAACGAAGCAGCAGCAGATCGATTCGGTGATGGCATTCCCAATTGACTGAGAACTATGTTCGCGATTTCTAAGCACAAATCTTCAATCATTATCAACGCTTCGTTGTAGATTTCTGCTGTGAAATCCATGTTCATATTGGATTTTCCTTACGTATTCGACGGAAAATATCTTTAGCCATGTGCGATTCATATTTCTCCCACAACTCTGTTGGAGATGAAGGAGAGCAGGCGGTCAGTATGATTGCAAACAATGCACGAATTTGATGTGGATGTGTCGCGTTGCACGCGTCAGTAATGTATACATCC